TTCTTCGTCCAAGATTAGTGCATCTTCATCACTATTATCAGCCATGAGATACTCCTCTACTTCTTTTTCATTTAAATGAAATATTCTAGTACCCCTCCGAGCCTAAAACAACAAATAGTTGTATAAATTTACTATTATTGTTGATTACGGAATATAAAATATAATATTCGGAATGTTAGCAGCTGTTGACCTTTCATGCATATTGGGACATCCATGTCCCTGCTAATATATCTTGTATTTTCATTGCTTTTGTACGTAACATTATAATAAATAATAATAAATTCATAATGACTACTTACCATTCTACCACAATCAATCACAAAAATTATCTAAACTGCAAAAACTATATTTTAATTAACTTTTGAATATTATTTACGAAGCGCGCCATAACCAAAAGATCAAAAAAATGAAGGTCAGCGTAGCTGCTCAAGTATTTAGTGCTCGAACTGCTGCTATGCTCAAATATACAAATGCACTCAGTAAGTAACGATTGCTATATTGATTTGTAGGCTTATTCAATTTATGTATATACTATTGTAAAATTTGACCAGAAGTCTCAATATGTAAAAAAATCAATTTGTAAAAAAATGGTTAAAAAAGTCTGTTGTTGTAACCAAATAAGAAGTGTCTTTTTGGCGAAAGATTTGCAGGTACAACTGTAAAAGAAATTGAATTAAAAAGTACTTTTTCTTTTCAGATTATTTTCATACTGCAACCTCTGACGCAACAATGGCCACAACAGTGGAAGTTGTTGAATTCTTCGACACACTGTTTGACAGCGTCAATGGCTACCCGGGTGGTGTGCAAAGAGGAAAGTTAAGACGAGCGGTTAAACAAAATTCACAACATCACACTTTTTGGATTGAGGCCATTAATAAAATTAAAAAAATGGTTTTTGTAGACACCAGTAGCAAACATGCTACAAAAGCAGGAAAACCTCGACTTGTGCGAGTGCCATCCCAACAAGGATGGATTACAACTCTTGAAAGTTTTATAAGGGTCTCCAAATTGTTATTTGAACAGTATAATGTAGAATATTATTATCCGAGGAATATTAATCAAGACCCATTAGAAAATTTTTTTGGCCGTATAAGAGCTATAAATTATAGAAATGTTAACCCAGATGCAAACACATTTATATATGCCTTTAAATCTTTGATGTTATCTAACATGCTTAGTCCACATTCCAAATTCTCTAACTGTGAAGAGGATAATGGAGTAATATTATTAAATGTTAGTCTTCTTTTTAAAAACCTTCATAATAATAAAGAAAATGACTCGGAAAACACTGTCAGTGTTTCGCGAGATTTCCCATCTTCTTCACAAGCAAGTTCAAGAGAAAAGTTGCTGGTGAATGATGTAGTCATGGAAAAAATCAAAGTCCACTGCTCAGCTTACACTGCTGGATACATTTGTCGGAAAATAACGAGAGCGATTCGTTGTAAGGATTGCATCAAAACATATATTAGCAGTACGGAGACAAACATTCACTCTTACATTAAATTTAGAGAGTATAAATTGTTAAAAAATAATAATTTGGCATACCCTAACGAAAAATTCCTTATCTTGTACAGGGATGGTACTCACTGTATTCATAACTATTTGAATTATAGCTGTATTGGAAGTAATATAAAAAGTAATTTGAAAAGAAAAATATTGAGCACTTTGAGTTTTTCCTGCCTAGGGTGTGATAAGCATGCCTTAATTGTAAAAAACTTTTTCACCAATATTTTAATTAGATTACATGGACACAATTGGTGCAACATAAACAATAAAATATTGAAGGGTGATATTGATGAAAAATATGTATCTAAAATGGGTGAACCCCAAAAATTGGCCTTAAAGAAGTATAAAAGTCTTAGGTTAAGAAAAAAATGTTTAAGTAAATAAAATGTTGATGAAGTGACGACCTGGATATGCAGGTGGCTTAGGACCGTGCTTTCTGGCATTTCTTGGGGGAGGCCTACGGTTAGCAGTGGACTTGTGAAGCGCTGTAATGATGACGGTGGTTAAATAGAATGTTCGGATTCCTGAAACGTAAACGCTGTTTCAGGTCCCCGCAAACCAAGTATATAACGAGGCGATATTGCGAATAGCTATGTTGTGTGTGCCGGACAGGTGCGTGTGGTGCCGGAAGCGGCCCCCACCATTCGAGACACCGCGCGCACGTACCTTCCAAACGAGGCCCACTGACCCGAGTGCTGCACACTAAATAAAGTAGCTCAGGATGTAGATTTATTCTGCTGTTCCTTGGGTGAATTTACCTAAGTGACATTATATTATGTATTATGTTATAATAGTAGATAAGTTGTGTTCTGTCCTTATTAAATTAGATAGTTTTATATGCCTACACTGTCGTATTAGGTACGCCTGTAAAGACAGAGGTAGAAATAAATAAATAAATAAATAAAGTTACTCCCTAAAAATCTCTGGTCTGTAGCAACCTAGAATATGCTTCTATAGCGCGGAGTCGATTTTATGCTATATTACGCTATTAGCATCTTGAGCATACTTGTTATTTTTAACGTTGATGTCGATATTTGTTTATTTTTCAGATGCTTATCATGGAACAACCTCCAAGTGAAAGTACCAACACCAAGGAGATAAATGTTCTTTTTAAAAGTAATTTATGTTACCATATAACTTAGTTATATGATAATATAGATTACTTTTTAATTACGATTATACTAAACTGTCGTTAACAGTAGCCATACAGAGTTAATACATACAATATAGATGTATACATTATATATTTATTCTTTAATTTTGGGTTTATGTATAAGAGCATAAAATTCACAAATATTGTTTGTTTTCAGGAATAGAAATCTGATGTGAAAAGCTGATGTGGTGAGACAAATGTTGCCAGAAGATACAAAATGTACACATTGGCAAAATGGTATGATAAATTCAGTTTATTCTTATACATAATTAGGCAAAATTTCAACATATCTATTATATCTATATTCAGCATATCTATCCTCAAATCACAATAAGAATTCTTTATTCTTCATCTAATCTAAGGATTACAGTTCCACTACACTTCAATGGTTTTATCAACAACTCCTTTAGTATTAAGGTTACACTAATTTGGAACTCTGTGCTTGAAGACATTGAGAAAGCTCCTGATAATGGATGTATACAATGTTAATATTTATATATTTTTTATTTCTTATTTACTGCATCTACCACTTTATTTTCACCACACCATGGCTGACCGAAAGAAAATGCCAACTGCCATGAAGCCGCCCTATTTTACCTTAATATGAATAATATATGATTTATGATTATCATTCAGTCATAAAATATGAATATTGTACTTTATTTTTATTTATTTCTTTTCAGGTTACGTGGTGAAGAAAATGAAATAAAAGAAGAGATGTTAAAATATTAAAAAAAGGATGTAACTTGTAGGTGAACAATCCTCACAAAGACTTACTTAATGTCCAATCTATTTTAAAACTGTAGAGAACTATTTGAAAACCTTTATTTTATGTTAAACAAATAACTTTCTTATTAATACAATTAAAATAATTTTGTAAAAAAAATGGCCAGGCCAAAAAAGTAACTTGAAAAGTAAAATATTAAGCACTTAAATATGATTCATGTGGTTTAATTTGCTTTATTTAATGAACTATAAATATTGCTCTGTTTCTCGTCAAATTTTACTTATTTATGCACAATGTTATGTACGATTTTCTAATTTGTTTATATAACTTAATGTGCCTTTAATTTAATCCTAAAATTACGTATGTATATGATGTAGGTGTGCTTGAATAAAAAATAAATGTTAATGTATTATAAGTGTTTCATTAAGTAATATTATTATTCCTGTATAATGCACTTCTGTGGATATCGATAAAATAAGAACACCACTAAATATCGATATCGATGATTTGAAGGATGTGTGCTTGCAATCTCTAAGCTATATTTTTTTTATTACTCATCTGTCAAAATGGGCGACTGCAGCGCCAAAAGGCATAGTTGGGAAACTTGACTAAAAGTAACCAAAAGTAACTGTCGTATCTGTAGCTTGCTACATATATATTTATCTATGGCCATAACATCCAAAAGTAATAAGGAGATATTTGTTCCCTTTTTTACGCACTGTACTACCAACCTTAAAATATTAAAAGTTTCGTTCAAAAACAATTGTTAAAGACTACTGTTTTGTTTTTAATTATTGACTATATCAGTAAAAATGTAAGTTAAAATTTAGGGATACCGGTGTCCCATTTACGTCAAAGGGTTAAGCGTCCACTCCATATTTAAAAATGAGTAAAATTCTAAAAAGTATACAGTTTTATTTTCATGAACAATTCGAAATTCGAATTCAATAAACTTTTTTGTGGCCAGCATTCTAAAAGAAAAGTTTTTACTGTGTGACAATACTTATGACCTGACTAGGTATATATTTATTTCAAAGTGATGAACGACGGTGAAAATAACAAGCAGCGAAACCTTACATACATACAAAAAGTCACATGCCTGTTACCCACAGCAGTAGGCAGAGATTACGGACTTCCATTTGGGAGCGACAATATATACATAACTTATTTAGTTTGTGTACATACGTATAGTAATATTTGTGGGGCAACGGTTTAATTCCAGCGTTCGAAATTCAAAAAACCACTGACGGAATGTTGAAGTTAATATTTTGCAGATTTTGTTAAAAAAAAAATCTTAAAATAACTTATTACAGGCTGATCATAACTATTACAACAATTAGTTTAATGTATAATATATAGAAATTAATTATGACATAATTCAATAGTAAATCGTAATTTACGTTTAGTTTGTTTAATAAGCAATGCACGGTATTCTAATCCACACGGTTCATACTTTACTTGTTTTAATAATTACTTTTCTAATATTTGCAACAATTAAAATTAAAATTGAACAAGCCTTAGTACTATGATATAATTTTCGTTAAAAAACAATACAAACAGCGTAAAATTAAATACTAATAATTTCGCTTAGCCACAAAATAAAAATACTCTTACCCTTATGAAGCCAGTTCTGTATTTTACAGCCGGACTCCCTCGAATCTATACTGCAGAATTGTTGATCAGAAGACGCGGTAGATAAAGTTAAAAAAGTAAATATACATAAAATAATTAAAGCGCGAAAGCGGTTATCGGACATCTTTACTGTTAAGCCTCGGTCGTACGAATGCAGGCTTTCTGCCAATAGAGGCTATAAGATTGATTATGGCGAAAACGGAGAGAGCCTTGTTTTATTCAACGTTTCAGACAAAAAAAAACATCTTTACCGAACCGTGAAAATAGAATGAAAGTGATTCGTGATCGTGAAATGAAAGCATAGAATTTGAAAATTCGATCACTTTGGTTAAAATTTCTGTCAACTTGAGAGTGCAATGAACCTATTCCTATGAATACAACAAATCCACATAACAGCATATAAAAGTCCACTGCTGAACACAGGCCTCCGCTATAGATTGGCTTATAAGCGGAATTGCTACAGTTGCCATGCACGGCAGGCGGGTTGCCAACAGCAGTTCTTTTAATAATTTTGGGTTGTTATCAGGCAGACGCTGTTGCCCATCTTCTGGTTTGTTTTCCCATGTCACCTCTTACGACACCCACGGGACGATATGGAGTAGCGGATATTCTTACACCATAGCAACACGGTTATACAAATGGTTTCATAATGTATAAGTTGAAAACTTTTTCCATACACATCATCCTCAACGGTTTTTAAGACTAATGCTGGAGATGGATTGCTGGAAATGATTTTTTACGTGGTAGAGCCATGCTGCAGCTATATTAGTAGTATAGTTGTAGCACGAATGGTTCGCCTTGACCGGGGAAGGACCACGCTCTCACAGAATACCAGCGTGAAATAGCAACTTAATGCTGCTGTGTTTCGTATGGTGAGTGTAGAGAACCAGATACCCTTTTTACTGGAAAAGAGGCATTCCATCTTAGTCCTCACGGGTGACAACGCACCTGCATTTTGATTCTTTATTGAGGATAGATTTAGATGTCTATGGGTCACAGCAACCACTTACCATCAGGTGGACTGTGTGCTCGTTTGTTTGTCAACCTTATCGTAGAAAAAATAATGTAGATAGGCTATTACAACAATGCACCAGCTGTGGAGTATCAGTTCTAAGGATTCGCCCACACCTCGCTTCCTCTTCAAAGTCTTGATGTCATAGCTAACCCGGTCTACATTAAACTATTCATTACCTGGAGGTTTCGAAGTGGTATGCTTGGATGTGGAATTATTTCTTTGTTTTTAAAAACTTGGACACTATTGTGTAGGAAGGATACACAAACCCGCGGCCCTTTTTTATCATGGATAAATACGCATACCAGCCTCGCGGGGGCAAATACGGGTTATGTCGGACTCGCACCGACTAAAACCTCATGGTGTTCCACCTTCGTCGCATATTGGCAGGGCCACATCGCGGTAACTAAACAGAAAGCCACACACTACAGTCGTATTTAATTTTTTTTTTCTTAATAATAGTTTGTAAAGCAGCAGCCAGCTATCTTTTAAATTTTATTGGAATGTTTTTTAATTTCGAGGGATCTCAGGTCTATCAAATTTTATGTAGCGGCGAGGACGATCCTGAACATAATTATTTCTTATATTTACGCGAACACCACACATTGAATAAAACTACTTTTACGGATTCTATCGCGTTTAATTAACTTATTTTTATTAATTCCCGACGGTCACGGGAGACTGAGGTGATTGACGTCCCGATGTCAGAGTTAACCCGGAGTACCTTCAGCTTTTTTAACTATTAATTTTGTTCCGATCTACGCAGAATGAACTTACTGTATCTTGAAGTCTTGCAGTGTAATGCTTGGGTATAGTATTAATTTTATTAATTACAGGATCCCAAGCAGATGGTAGTACCCTCATCAAATCATTCACAATTACAAGTTGAATTGAATCATTACACAATTACAATGTATAATTATAACTATCTAAATATTTAAATTAGTATTTTGATGAGACGCGGCAGCTCGGGGATTAAACGCTTGCCGTAGTACTCACAGTACGCGAGCGACCAGCGTTCGATTCCCGCCGGCAGGAATTAAATTGTTAACTGCAAAATTAAGTGCTGATTCCCACGTGATGGAAAACATCGCGAAGTAACCTGTAAGCCAGAAAAAAACAACCAAAGAAATAAATAATTCGAAAGCATTTGTAATGCGCCAACATGTATTGGTGCAACACCGCGATACCTTCCCGCCCTAAGACCCTCTCAGAAATGCGAGGTCTGTGCCAACAGTGGGACTGGTATTAAAGTGTAACTCTATATTTTTCAATTTTTTTTTACAGAGAAATATTATTTCCCCACTAAAGAAAACTTTAACACTTTAAGGATAATAAAAACTGACTATTATTTTTTTCAGCGAATTGTAAAATGTCTTCAATGAAAGCGCATTTTAATTCTGAAAAAAATTACTCTCCAGAATTTAGAAATCTGCAATCAGTAAACATAGTTATTAAAGCCCCTGCCATTAAATCAGTTTTATAAAGTCCATGAAATTAGTTTTATTTATTTAAATTCGCATACTGCAGCCCAAACACAACTGCTACTGACTGCTACCAACTTCGAACAAGTAAGGTAAATTTAACATACATTTGTTTTAGTACGGTAACTACAATGTAATACTAGCTGGAACCCGGCGGGTTTTATTTTTTTTTATAGGAGAGGGGCAAACGAGCATGCGGCTCACCTGATGGTAAATGACTACCGCCGCCCATGAACAACTGCAACACCAGGGAGGGAATTGCACATGCGTTGCCGGCCTTTTAAAAAGGAGTACGCTCTTTTCTTGAAGGTTCCTAAGTCGTATTGGTCCGGAAAAATTCACTGATGGTAATCGATTCCACAAGGAAGTCGTGCGAGGAAGAAAACATCTTCTAAATCGCACAGTGGTGGACCGCCAATCATCCAGATGGTGTGGATGGTATCGGGAGATCTGCCTCGATGTGCGTTCGTGAAATTTGGCGGCTGGGATTAATTCGAACAATTCCTCAAGGCACTCCACGCGGTAGATGCGAAAGAAAATGCAAAGGGATGCAACATCTCTTCGCAAAGCTAATGAATCGAGCCGATCGGAAAGGACTCGGTCGCCGACGAATCGAGCCGCTCTGCGCTGGATGCGGTCAAGTGGAAGAAGCTGGCACTGGGCCCCTGCCCAGAGATGGGAACAGTATTCCATGTGAGGCCGAACCTGCTCCTTGTAATGATGCAGGTGGTGTGCCGGCATGAAATACTGTCCCGTTCTGCTGAGCACGCCAAGCTTTTTAGAGGCCAATTTGGCCTTCTCTTCCGAGTGACCACGAAACTGCACGTCACTCGATATGTCGACTCCGAGGAGTCCGATACTGGCTGAGGCAAGAAGGGGAGTGCCTTGAAACTGATGAGATACGACAAAGGGGCTCTTTTTAGCGGTAAACGCGCAAATTTGTGTCTTCTGAGGATTAAACTGGACTAAATTTAGTCGCCCCCAATCCGAGACTTTGTTCAGCAAAGACTCGACTTCAGACACAAGTTTATTCCGGTACTCAGCGACGTTTTTCTCGAGAAATATTGGCACGGCCGGTGTATAAAGCATCACCAGTGCTGTCATCCGCATAGCAATGAATGTCACTAATTAGCAACAAGAAGAAAAAGCAGCAGAAATAATTGTGGGAATATCGTTTTAAATTTGGAAGAGTTATAAATATTATTTAATTAGAAATGATAATACTTTCATTGAAGTTGAATGATATATGACTTTCAAAAAACATTGTCGGTAACATACGCGAGCCACCTACTGTAGTTAATTGTACTATGCCTATAACCTTCGGGGAAGTGCAAGCATTAGGTAAGTTGATAAAGTTTTTTCGCAATCTGATGAACGGTATGGCAGCGCATAGAATACGAATAAACAAACAATTTTTTTTATTGGGTAAGGTGACAAACGAGCACACAGTCCACCTGATGGTAAGTGGTTGCTGCGGCTCATAGACATCTACATCTATCCTCTATTACAAATCAAAATGTAGATGCGTTGTCACACGTGAGGACTAAGATGGAATGCCTCATTTCCAGTAAAAAGGGCCTCCGGCCACCTGCACTCACCAAGCGAAACGCAGAGGTAAACCTCTACTTCACGCTGGTTTTCTGTGAGGTAGTGTTACCACCCCGCATCGAGCCGGCCCATCCGTGCGACACCAAAAGCTGCCGCGTGTTGTTAAATTAAATTCATTAATTGTTTTATTACAAAATTGTAGTAAATGAAAGATTATACGTAGTATAGACGAATATTTCTAACATTTTCTCAAAATATGTAAGGTGTAGCATAAATATTAAGATATATTTTACTAAAATATACACCCAAAATCACCTTAGCCAATTAGCCAACTAACCAACTTTTCATAGATTAAAGAGTTTAGTTCTATGGTTTAGTTAGTGCTGCCAGAACACCACTGTAAAATTTTTTTTATATAATTTTTTTTCATTTTTATATAATATATGATTACGAACCGGAATACAACAATTGTTGTATTGTTTTGCGGTAGAAATAGATACCTAATTTAAAATGTATCAATATACCTAACCAAAAAGTAGCCCATTAATAGAATCTGGAGTTACTTTGTTTTGGTGTTTGACGGCTCCTTGGCGCAGTGGCTTGGCAATCAGTTGTTGCGCTGGGGGCCGCGGGTTCGAATCCCGCACGGAACAAGTATTTGTATGGCTTACAAATAATTGTTCCGGGTCTGGATGTTTATCCTTGTGCAATTTATGTTTGTAAACTGTCTCCACGACACAGGAGAAAATCCTAGTGTAACGTTTTTTAAATCAAAAGAAAAAAAAAAGAAACACATTTTATGTAAGTTGTTGAAAATGAATTTGCTTATATCCGCTAAACGATCTGCCACTGTAGTCTACTTCAACTGAGGATGCCTCGTGTAGAGGCAAAATATGATGTGTCGTATTACCGACGGTGGTGTGTCTTTCCTAGTGTAGTGGTGTTGGTGTAATGTTGTAGGGAGTAGTGGTGCCGAGAATAGAGGTGACGGGGATAGTGCACGCAGTTGAGGGAGGCTGGAAGGTGCTCTTCAAACTAAGTAAAACACATCACATTATTTCATTACGCAGACATAAGCAA